CACCCTTCACTTGATAGAGTTGAACACTGCGCCCCTGCTCGGCTGAAAATGACGCTGTGCTACTCAAGAATTGCAGCAGATATGCAGTGACTTGCCGTGCCTACAGAAGGCGCTTCCATGGGTTTCTCAAGTGAATGTGAAGCGGTCAGTGAAGGGCGTTCTAGAATACGGGGGTTAATCTTCACGCTGCACTACACTTCGATTGGCCACGATACGACCGTCTTTTCAGTGTACCTGCGCAGCAGTCAAGTATAGAACCGACGTATCGATAGTATGAAATATCGATTGTACTACTGTTGATAAAAAGCTCCTAGTAATATGGATAATGTAATCAACGATACCATCAGGAGTATTGCTGTCGATAGCACAATAGTGTGATGACTATCCCTAATTCGCCGAATAGTCGACTACCAGCGGTATACTCAGTACGCTTAATTTATGCACATGCAATCTACATGCATGCTGGAATACGTTCACCAATAAAATTCATATTCGAAAGTCGCCAGTCTTGCCTTACAATTCAAAACGGCTTTTCTTTTACTTATTTTAAAACCACACAATCCAATAAAATTTTGAAGCCTGACCGTCTCGGTGGATCAAGGGTCAGGGTGCTCCGCTGCTTGGCCGCAGGTCACGTTTCCGGGCCATGGGGGTCGTATTTCGATGTAGGTAGCAGCCCGTGTACTGCACGATATCAGTGCACCTTGCATATTAGATGGCCGAAATTTCGGGAGCCCTCAACTACGGCGTCTTTCATGATCATACAGAGGTTCGGGGGCGCAGAACTCGAGATATCATTAAGTCTGAAGCCGTGCACATCCGCCACATGTAACGCACGCGTCACATGTTCTTTTTTTTTTTTGAGTCTCTCGTATATCATATGGTGGTTTTGGGGCGTTCAACCGCAAATATCAATCACGTTCCTTTCTGCTGAAGCTCCACACTTCAGCTTGATTATCATGTGTCAGGCAATCAATAAAGTTATTTGGACGCTCAGATTAGTTCGCTAATCAGAATTTTCGTCAAAATCCGACATTTTTTTTTTCAGATTCTTTGAAATTTATAGCGACCCCCGGAAACTTTCACAACATTGTTTCTATCGCCAACCCGGGCTGATGCGTCCGAAAGTTTCGCGAGGACAGCCCGACGATGTTCCGGACACAATACAGTCATTCCCGGGTCTCCATCAACCGGGAATGTGCCTACCGACGTGCGATGGCACTGAGAACGAATGCAGTGACTGTGATTGATTGATGCTTGATATGTGAGGTTTAACGTCCCAAAACCACCATACGAGTATGAGAGACGCCGTAGTGGAGGGCTTCGGAAATTTCGACCACCTGGGGTTCTTTAACGTGCACCCAAATCTCAGTACACGGGCCTACATTTCCGCCTCCATCGGAAATGCAGCCGCCGCAGCCGGTATTCGAACCCGCGACATGCGGGTCAGCAGCCGAGTACCTTAGCCACTAGACCACCGCGGCGGGGCTGCAGTGACTGTGTCGGCAGGGCGAGAGAGCAAAATGGAAGGCGATGATTAGCGCTATCCGTCGTATGAACACGAAATAACCCAAGCAACCACCGCAGTCTCTAGCACTATCTGGTGCTGGAGCTACGAGTCCATCGTTCCGTACATTGGCGCGACGTCCAGCCTCGTAAAAGGAAAGCCATGACATCTAAATGTTTTAATACGATAGTGTCAGAGCCTGCACGTGAACGAAAACCCGTGTAGGTCAAAATGGAAGGGAATCGCCGCTTTTTAGGAGTGGAGCTCCTTGGGCTTCCATGGTGTTGTCGCTGTCGTCGTTTGTCCGTCTATTCCATTCACAGAGCGTTCATAGTGCGCATAGACCGTTCTCTGTCCGTCCATATGTGCTCCGACCGTCAATGCATCTGTACCTCTATCTCTTATAGTATTCGATGCTTTGAACATTCACATTGTGGACTTTATATGACCTAGCTTTGCTCCATCGTTAGCATTTACTTCGTCGATCGGCTGCCGAATATTTTATTCCGTTATATCAGGAGAAATTCCTTGCAACGAATTCAGGACAACACTGCGTGCTGTGGTTAGTTGCCGCAGAATAGTTTTTCTTCGCATCGGCAATGTTGTAGCATCAGGTTTTGTTAGATGATGTATGTAACTGCACCACATACTCGGGGAATAAAGTTTATGCCGCAGCGAGTTCGCACGGTTGATTTTGTACTATCAAAATTGTATACGAGAAATATCAATAGCGCTGTTCATAGTTTTTTCTTCTATTATCGATAGTTCGATAGGGGCCAGACTATCAATATTGACAGTAATATCGATAGTTCTGTATAAATACTTCTCAGTTGTGCGGTGCAGCACACGACAGCTATGAGCACACTCTCGTAAGAGTTTATTGCATGGTCTCGCGAGATCATTAACATGATGCCGAAGTTAAGGCCGTCTTCAGTCCTATCGCTCCTGTAAAATGTTGAATTTGTTTCTTCTTGATGGCACTCTCCAAAGTCTGACCATGAAACTGTGTTTAAGTATCTGTACCCTTACTGGTCTCTCATCCGTATGTATGCTGTCGAATAGAAATGCATATCCGTCGCTATAGACTTTGTTACGTCACTCTGGACCAGTGGTCTAGTTTACGTTGACGTCCTTCCTCTGAGAGATTGCAGTGCACGTAGCACACCACTTGTAAAGCCGCAGTATCGAGTTAGGTCAACACTGTATATTCTTTCAGTGCAGTCAGCAATCTGTATTTTTTTTTTTCTGCGAATTCCCCGCTAGAGTATTCGCCGTGTCGTGAGCTACATGGTGGCAAAGTCGAAATACGTGCACATATCACCGATAACGTATTAGATCATTAACCCTTAGAGCACCGAGACTACAGGTTAATGTTCCTGCATCTACAGTTTCACCTTTGTCTCTGCTGTCAAACTTCAACGACTGTAAGTTTTCTCTTTTTTTTCCTCATTCAGAGCGCGCTAAACTGCATATTCAGAGCATTTGCCGAGAAGTAGGTCGTTCTTTGTAGCCCTTCAAACGCTAACAAAATACGAAATGGACTGTGTAACTTTAATTACTTTAATTATAGTCCTGAGAAAAGCCACTAGAATGCAGTGGGCTTCGCCTATACTTGGGACGGGCAGCCTAAGCCTTACAGCCCAAAGCTGATCCACCTCCCCCCCCCCCCCCCTTTGTCGGGGCTTCCGATGGTGGAGCCCCACTTGGCCGAGTTTACTAGTATCGTTTTTTTTTTTTTCACCCCTCTAAACGGGTTTCTCGATACCTAATGTTAATGCGCTGCGTGACCTGTCGATGCAGAATGTCTGCAATTAATCTAATTAATCTTCCTGAAGTTTCCGCAATCGCTTTCGTTATAATGGCCATACGAATCGGCGTCCTTCTAGCGTGTCAGGCGGGAAGTTTTCTGGGGTGGCCCTTTAGCTCTTCTCGACTCCGTTCGGTGTGACGCAAGGGAAGGCACTTGGTAAATAATATTCGCGTCCTCAGCGTGTCCGGGATATGCCGTCTTCCAGTACACATGCGATACGCCACCGTTCAGATTGCCGTATGTATACGTTCTTTCTGCAGAGGTCCTCGAGAGCAGCTTGCATTACCTGTTTACAATGTCTAGCAGCAATCTCTTTTTTAGCTACAGTTTGTGGGTGAGTAAAGACCGATATATCCAGCACATGGCCAAGAATTATACCGGCTAGTCTTGGAGGATGAGACTTGCTTTACTGCCGCACTTTTTTTTTTCGCTGCACACCTAACAAAATATTGGCTCGTACTGCCCTCACACTGCATTGCGATCATAATACTCATTTGAGCTGTGACATGGACTGCATGACAGATTTTGATTAACACTTCCAAGCGGCTTTTTATTGCCTTGCTGCTGAGTGACTTTTTTGCACAAAACATGACATCAACAAAAATATCTAGCTGATTGCATGTGCATGACAGCTAAAACGCAGCGGAATTTCGGCGAGGGAAAAATTAAAGACGTCCGTGGGAGTGCGTCTGTGACGAAATTGCGCTTTTGTTTTTTTTTTTCGGCTGACAGTCAATCTTGGTGTCGTGGAACGAAACTGCGTGTGACGGCCAGCTGCAGCCTTTCCCTCATTCGCTGCACGCTGTCACATTGATCACTCGCGTACGTGTGATGGTTTGCATAAGAGTCGAGTACTCTGGTTGTTCTTGACGCTCTTGACGACCAAAGCAGTCTTGCCGATGCGTCAAGTGTCCCGGTCATTGTAGATTCTTCCTAATGGTTCTATATGTGGGTAGGTTGCGTTGTCATGTCCCTAGAGAATGCAAAAAGCGCGAGAAATCGGATAATAGGGCGTGTGGACCGAGAGGTGGCCCTCGCCACGTTTGATCTTTCTATAGGCCACTTTTCTTGGGAGTCGTGGATCTTTCGGCATTCGACAGAGTTCAATCGGGGCTCAATGTGAGGGGAAAAAAACGCTCGAGGCTTTAAATGACGGATGCACATGGAAATAGTAAAGCAGAACGATATATCCTACTACAAAGGCTTTTACTGGTTGGCTGGACATTCGAAATGGTTCAAAGAAAACGCCAGGACAAGCCTATATCTGCCTTTTCATCTAAATCTTATGCGGCGCTTTGCCGCTGCAACACGTGATTGGTCTGCACAAACTGAAGTGACTCCAAGCCTATACCGTGGTGTCTTTCGAAGTGACGTATGATCACCAGACATGTAGACGGAATTCAAACGGTTGGGTTGTGGAAACGCTTCAATAGTCGGCGTACTTTCTACCTTGGGTGACCACCTGGGTTTTCTTGTAACACGCCGGTCAATTGCATGTGTTGTATAAAAAAAAAACAGGTGACCGACGTTAATTCCACAATGACTCATTACATAATCAAATCGTGGTTCTTGGCACGTGAAACCCCCAACTGTATTCTTTTGAAATAGCGTCTTGCTACAGAACAGTGTCCAAACTTCCCCCACCAGCAGTGGATGACGTTCCGGCGTCCTTCTCTTTCGCAGCGGCGCGCAGCCGAGCAACTGCGGAGGCTGCCGAGAGTGCCAACCCGGAGCACCCGGTGCCTCGGCATGAGGTCAAGGAGTCGCTCGAAGCCGGGCGAGCAGAGCACGACTTGGGCGGCGGGTACGTGCCGCTGGTGGCGCAGATGCAGGACGACGAGATCCCGCCGCGTCCTCCGTCTTCCGGCGAGCAGCGGCGACACGGGCCCTCGTCTCGCGGCATGGATTCGGTCGAGTTCAGGCAGCGCGGCCGCGAGATGGTCGAGTACATCGCTCGCTACATGGAAACCATCGCCGACCGGCGCGTGACCCCGCAGTGCGAACCGGGCTACCTCAAGGAGCTGCTGCCGGAGAGGGCGCCCGAACAGCCAGAGGACTGGGACAACATCATGGCCGACGTGGAACGCTTCATCATGCCCGGAGTAAGTGTACGATCGCCTGCTGCTCGCGCGGTACACTAATGGACCTGCGCAGTAGACACAGATAAAAAAAACTAAACGTACTTTGACTACTTTTGGTGTGTACTGACCTACCACCCATCTCTTTACGCAATTGTGTAAACATGTAGATTTATACTTATGGTCAGTCGTTCGAGCCGCGATTCTCCAGAAGTAAACCTGAATCTTCAAATAGCTATATATGTAGCAAGTAAGGAGCTGCTGAAAAGAAAACCGGTTCTCTTCTTCTTTCTGGTACTGAGGACAAAGACGTTATCTCGATGGCCGTATTATCCCGTGAAGGAACCAGAATTTGGACCAGTACATATGCATGGTGAAAAATATCCAGTATAGTTGAAGATGGCTCTCATCAGGGCTGTTGCTATGTAAAAAGTAACAAAAGGACAGCGCTTTCAGGACGATTTTCTATGCTGTGCTTTTATTCTTCCTGCGTTCGCACTGTTAAAATTTGCGGGTTTTCTTTAGGCATGTACAAACCAGTCTGGATTGACATATTGGTAACAATGTCCATTTTATTATAAAAAGCTTGCATTTCACGGAACCTTCAAGTGAACTAATTTACACAGGTAAGCATTGCGCTATCCATGAGGTGTTGCGTTTTACATGCGAGCACCAAGCCTATAACGCCGTTGAATGTATGTATGAATTGTGATAGTGAAAATAGCTTTTATCACTTCCCCAAGTTTGAAAATGAATAAATTAGTTCTCTTCTCGTTTAGGGGACAGATTGTATACAGCAATGAATAGAAAATCTCGGCATATCCACGGAGTGGATATGCTGAGATTGATGATGAGTGGGGCAAAGCTTCGGAGGGTTTTATCGGTAAACTTTGAATCGCCTGTCTGTCCATCTAGGGAACACTCCAAGTACCGCCATCTTGCATCTTTTCATCATATAGAAGTACCGAAATCTAGCGGACATTCCAAGAACTTAACGAGAAGTGGCACGGCCGGGCTAAACTGCACCTGGGAGTGCGCACTTGCAGTCAAGCCCGGTCGTGGAGGTGGCTACCTACAATTACATGCATCGAGGACGCACAACCCACGGCTTCAGGAGCTTCGACCCTGAAAAAATGTGCGCGGTCATTCTGCTAACCTTACCCCGCGTTCTGTTCCTTCTGTATGCGGTCGACTGATTACATCACAACTCAAACATCAGGCATTACGATAGCCTCCCTTTTGTTATGTGGGACACTGCCTTGGCGATCCCAAGGACTACTTACGCACGTGTAGCGTGGCGCGTGTTGTAATCTACCCGAGGACGCACGCATGATAGGTGCGGCTGCCTTGAACTGAAACTTGAGGACTCGTCTTGTGACGTCTGTGCAGTCCAACTGGATAAACTGCAGTTGAACAGCACAAGTGGTTGGCATTCTCCCCTGACATTTTCAAGCACGCGTCGCCTTGTCATTAAATGCTGGCGATTTTTTTTTCGAGTTTTCTAGCCTATCATGACACTGAACTCCTTTCTCTGAATCTTGTAGATTACCTGGAGACTACAGAAGAGTCTTTCGCTCGCACGACCTGTTTCAACGCTTTCGTGATTCAACTCGACTGTTATCAACTTATCACAAATAACGGTCCTGCGGTATTGCTGCCTCGGTTCACGAAAAACACAGCCAACCATGCCACCATAACGCAACGAAATTAATTATACTTTGACAACACCCGTGTAGTTATACAAGCCAATAACAACGAATAAACGTTCACAGGTTTTCAGAAGGTGTAACTGAAATCGAAACTTTGCGACGCAACAGACCCATCGTTCATGACCATCTTGGCTGCAATCTGTATAGATTGCAAACCAGTAGCCAGTGCCACGTAAACCGTCCTTTGACGGCAGATTGAGATCTAGATTTGCGTGGTGAGTGTTAGCAGAATGATAGCAGCGAACAAAGTAAACGTTTCTTCGGTTATGGATATGCGTAAGCTGCCGACACAGTATAGCGAAGTCTTTTTCGCTGGAGCGAAAGGTTGCGGCCTGACCAATTGCCTTTCTCGCAGGTGACCCACTGGCAGCACCCCCATTTCCATGCCTACTTCCCCGCTGGGAATTCCTACCCTTCTATCCTGGCGGACATGCTCTCTGATGGCATCGGCTGCGTCGGGTTCTCCTGGGTGAGTAGTGTCTACGGACAGGTCCTTAGCCACTTCTTCTCGTGAATGACCTATGCTTGACTTGCGTAACATTTCCCGTTGATGCGTTCCGCGAACACCGAGACGCTGTCCTTGTGCTTATTAAAGCCCTGCCGCTCTGCGAATTTATTTGCTGTGCCCGTCGAAAGACACGCAGACACGAGTTTGAACAAAATGCGCAGCTGCAAACGTGAACCCCATAACGTGTCTCGCAAATAACGCGGACCTTCATCGAATGAGAATGAAATGCCGGTTTGTATATGGCGAAATTCACAAGGAATGCCGTACTACTTGTGACAGGAAGTATAAATAGGTGTTCTCCATGTGGTGAGGGAGGGCTAGCCGCTTCTCTGCTTGACGCAGGCTGCTAGTCGTAGCCGACGTGGCTTCTTGCAAGAGGCAGGGCCACTGCACGCGCGGAGCCAGGAACGTCGTGCTCCCGGCAAGGTACACGCACCGAGCCCTGCGCACGTTTCGTGGCTTTGCAGGAGGGGCTCGCCGGGCTCCTTTTGCTGGCTGGCGCTGCTGGCTACATTGCTCGGCTTGTGCCTGCCTGTATTTCGTTTGTGTTGCCCCTGCGGCTGTCTGAAAGCAAGGGCGCCTGGCTTTGCCACTCGGTCGAGTCGTACGCGAAACGAAATCGGAGCTCATCAGGTGCACTCTGCAAGAGGGGCGAATTCGGTCGAGAAATAAACTATCCTAAATTAACTTAACGCAAGTTTGTAGTTCGGATACCAAAATTACCACTGTAGCTTCGATTGTCTCTGTAAAGAAAGCCTCCGATATCTGATACTTCTTCTATTAACTGCCGTTCTTTCAGCTCAAATCGGCGGGATGGTACTTCGGAAACGCACTAATGTTTGTGTGGTGGAAAGTGCTCTGTACATCCGCACAAGTATTCAGCTCTGACAGGGATGTGATATTCCACTCCAATCTTTGCGACTTCCTTTTGTCCTCGTTGAAGCACATTACAAATGTCCGTAAAGTCGGGGCAAAGACTGCAAACCTCGGAAAATAAGTTGCTGGTATATTTTTTTTTTTTTTCACAGAATGCGAATCTACCTACATTTGCTGTAGGTACATGAGTATCGCCCGGGGAGAGTGGTTACTGTTTGGAACAGTGACGTGGCGCTACGTAGCTGCAGCCCATGCGGGAGACAAAGGGAAACGACACAGCGCGAACTCTTAAGTTAGTCTCCATTTCACGTATAGTGGCATTATTATCTATATAACTAAAAGTATGTGTTTACTCACGAGTATAAAACTACACAAAAAAGGCCATCTTTCATTACAAATAGCTGCTTAATCATCTATCTAAACGTGTCATGGCACTCGTGCTCGTCATATCTGAATTATTGAGCTCGTATCGTTTTATTACCCCACCAATCATACTGTGCAAGTATATTGTTTGAAGAAGCCGCAGAGCCCACTTAGGGAGAAATGACGAACTTTCATTTGAGCCAACACCACGCTCGATTCATACATTCACTTCACTAACATAGCCGCCTGACACTGTACGGTGCATGCGTGCATGTGCTCGTGTCGATAGCATGAGCACAGGCTGGAAGGCATGGCACTTACTGAGCTTGCACTTACCGAGACGGCTTTAAGTCCCTGTTTGCAGCCTTAATCACCTAATCGATGCCCACTCCCCCTTTTAACTTTTCCTTCTCTCTCTCCACAGGCAGCCAGCCCGGCTTGCACAGAACTGGAGGTGATCATGCTGGACTGGGTCGGTACGTCATCGATATTTTGCACTTTTAACTGAACCAGCTAAAGGCCGTGTTGTGTTGAGTACTACAACCGACTTTGCAAATGAGTTTCTCCTCAACTTGGCTAACTGTTCCCTCTTACGTTTTGGATAGACTGCAAGACTCCGCGGCACAATGTTCATTTCTCTCAATGTTTGACTCTGCAGGGAAGATGATAAACCTTCCCGAGCAATTCCTCTGCCTTTCGGGAAACAGCAGTGGAGGAGGTGTAATTCAGGTAAGGAATGGGCGGTTTCATATTCGTCACGCGACTGCTAAACGCTGAGGTATACGCTGGAGGTACAAGCTTCACACATCAGCTTACTTATTCGTAAGGATATTGAATGTCAATTTAGCCGTACATTAATTTTTCAAATTGTGAGACAGTTCACAGATGTAAGGCTGCCTTTTCAGTACGAGATTCTTTTCCACCACAGAGAGAGGAACAGAGAGGTTAACCAGACAGCTTACGGCTCACTACCCACTCTTTTCCCTCCCCCATTTTTACATCCGCTCTCCCTGTAACAAAAAAAAATGCCCAGAAAAGCGTAGGCTTTGCTCGCTTCATCACTCAACAATGTCTTCGCTTCCCTATATATGGCTAGTCACTGAACTTTCAATCTTTCTTTAAGGCGCTTGCGTCACACGAGTGGTGTCCTGACGCGCAGTATAGTAAATTGCGCACGTCTGCTGTTGGATCGAAACTCCGATTTCCCTCTCCTCTCTTCCAGTCAAGCGCGAGCGAGTGCATTCTGAACACTTTGCTGGCGGCGAGGTACGCGGCCATCAAGAAACTCAAGGAAGAACAGCCTTTCGTCGATGAAGGAGTTCTCCTCTCCAAGCTCATGGCATATTGCTCAAAGGAGGTACGCCTGCTCCCCGTGATATGGTTTCTACTGGTGTAGTCTATAGTAATACTCAACAGCAAAAAAAAAAGGAACCTCGCGAAATGACGCTATTTAAGACAACTATTTCAGCAGTTCATATCACTATTTCTAAACAATTTCATAAGGTGGCTTGCTGCAGCGAAAACTGTCGCCCTGTCTCAAAATTATTCTGAATTTCTTTGCGTCCCTCTAAGGCATTATAAAATCGGAGATAAGGGGATCTCAAGCACTTTTTTTTTCTGCACATAAAAGTAGCGTAGCTTCCAAAATAGAAAAAAAGGCTAAGGGTCCTTTCGTGGCAGTTTGACATAAGCGCAGTCGTGTGGAATGCACATGTAGTGAGCTGCTGCTAACTCCCATTTTAGGTTCTGTCATCTGTAGAACCTTCCTAATCTCCCGTGCAATGACAGTCTCCTTCTGCTCTACAACCAAGCTTCTCACTTTATTCAATGGTTTGAAAAGTCGGCAGCAAGTGTGCTGGATCAGGCTGCGTGGCTGCGATGCGCTATGGCGAGATCACAAATTCTTTCAACTTTACTTCATTTGACTTGTCCGAGCAGTTTTACGGTTCGCTGTGCACATCTTCACACGCATTCAGACTCCCGGGGCAGATAGATATGCAGCACATGGCTGAAACATTTTTTTGGGTCTGAAGCTTTCCATGTTTTATTTCGAGGCGCTGTTAAATATTAAAAATGTTAAAACAGCGAGGCGCTGTTTTATTTCGAGGCGCTGTTAAACGATATTTCAAGAGGCCAGAGGCAATAGATGCTTTCTCAAACGTGAAACCGGACCACTCGTGCGCAAACGAGTCTTGCAAATCATGATCTCGTCATGACATGATGCTGTAGATCGTCGATCGTCAAAAGTTGTGACGTCATCACGACGTTACGGTGGCGTCGCATTATGACATCATCACACGAAATCTCCACTTGGTCAAAGATAGGCCAATTATTGAGGCAGCGTAAATTCACGTTACGTGCAGAAAAGCTTTCGGTGGGCCCCCACCAGGAGGATCGATACAAGGATTGAGAAGACTGCTTTCGCCCTTTTTAATCGTCTTGGGTGAATGCTTAAATGAGTGCTGACACGAATTTTGAATATTTTCAGGTTGATACCCTAAGTGAAAATGCCGGTGTCGAGAACCCCAAAAAATCGCAGCATATCCACGAAGTGAATGATGATTGGTGGGGCGAAGCGTTCGTCAGTCCGGTCGTGCTTCCTCTGTCTGTTTGTCAATCTGTCTGCTAGTCGCATCCGTCTATCTAGTGAACACTCCAAGTACAGCCACCTCTCGTCTTTTAATCATATACAAGTGCCGCCATCCAGCGGACATTCTAAGGACCGCTTTTTTTTGGGGTATGTGCCACCGGTGGCAACATGCATCATCCGAGGATGCACAGACCCACACCCTAAAGAGCGTCGCCCCTAAAAGTGTCGTGGATCGTGGGAATGCATCGAATAAATTCTCAATACCGCAACCTTAAAGAAAGGCGGTGTCCGTATGGGGAGGGTGGCTTCGCAGTGACGTGTAAACAGGTCTGACGTCACGGGATGACTAAAACTCGCGACATACTAGCAATAGCTGCCCGTTTGCTGTCAGTCGCAAGTGGTTCACGTACACAATGAGTGAATTGTCGTCCAGAAACTGACAGTGCGTCCTGAATGCCGCCTGAATCGCAGGAATCAAATTTTGCAAACCAATGGACTGTGTTGATGATCTTCATTGCGGAGGGGCTGCCTTGACGATGCTGGGTGACGGACATTAAAATTGAAATACATTTTGTACGTGTAGTCTCTGCCTCTGATGTTTGGAAAGCGTTTCGGGTGCTCACCTTGGAAAAGAAAGATGTCCCTTTTGGGGTGCCTCAAAATAGTGTCGGTAGTCTTTTTTTTTTTAAGAGAGCCTGTTGTTTTATCGCTAGGGTGATGATGATGAAAGCAGACCCTCTTCTTACGATACGACCTTGAGGCTTTCTGCCGGTCAATATTTACGTACAATGGTCACATAGACCAGCTTCCAAGCCACAGATAGCGCAGCGATCTGTAGCTTGGCAGCAGATGGATTCCTCTGACAGTTGACTGCACCAGGGTAGGAGCAGGACGCTCCTACAATGGTGCACTCAACTACGAGATGCACCGAAATCTCGGCTATGCACGTGCCTAGTTGAGTGCGCACTTATCTATATGGCGATAACACCGAAGGTTCGCATTCAGTGGCGAAGTGTGCGTATAAGCGTTGATGTATGTGTAACGCCACAACTCGTCCTTCTAAACAAGCTTCACCAACCACTAGAAGACAAAGTAAACATGTCACGTTTCCCTATTTCCGATTTAAGATCACCGAGAATTTTCACATACGCTTTCATAGACAAGATTTTGAAGCGACACATTTTTTTTCTTTCATGCAATTCCTTGTGCTTTATGGTGGGGGGGGGTCAGTGACAGCGTTGGCGTTTTCCGTTTTGTCAGCGAGAATGTTACGGAGAGTGTTATGAAAGGGCCTTCATTCCGGCGGAATCGCGATCTGTGAGGTGCATAGGGTTTTATATTGACGTACAGCCGCGGCCACGTTTGTGTAGAGCACTCGAGCAGCCGGTTTTTGCTCTGCTGGCTGAAACATTGAGGCATTTTCGGGCTCTGGAGTGGTGTATCGGGAGCATTCACGGCCTATAGTTCTTAGGCTGACCACGTCAGAGCCTGCAGATACTGCCCCAAGGTTTGGCTCCGCAGGGCCAAAATCCGGCTGCTCGAGCGCTCTATACACAGACTTGCAGTTACGCTGTATATTTGCACATAGTTTGAAATTTGTAAACGAAGCGTTGTGGTGCAGTGGTTTCAGTCTATTTCCTTTCTTACAGGCCCACTCATCGGTAGAGAAAGCAGCCATGATTGGATTTGTGAAACTTCGTATTCTTGACACGGACGACAACTTCAGCATGCGGGGCTCAACGCTTGCCGCCGCCATGGAGGAGGACCGCAAGGCCGGATTCGTCCCATTTTTCGTAAGTCGCTGCGGTTACTTGGCGCACGCGTTAGAAGTATTGTAAAAAGGTCGTAGCCACGCCTTCGATCCGGACTTCGTCATACGTATACAAGCGAGGCTTTTTTTTTTTTTTTCTCGTTCCAATCACAACTCTGGGAACTGGTAATTTACCGCACAGTGCGAAGCGTTAGAAAGCGCCAAATTGTGATGCATGAAAAGTGGTGGGAAAAAATTCTCGTTGAATATTTCTTAACGCGAACTTTGACAAACAGTTATTTAGTTTCGTGCACAGTTAACAGCAGCTGCTGTGTTTATTTGCATAACCCGGTTGGTGCGCCAAAGGATAAGACCCGATATTGTCACGGGGTCGTGACGTCGACGAAAAAGCAGTGACCTGTAAAACTGTGCCTATAGGAAACGGAAAGTCGTATCACAGTAACAGACTTGCACTGATAGCGGCGAAGCGTGTCGGCATTTATACACTTACCATCCAATGTTCTAGTGTTATCGCTGGTGGCGACGTAGGTTCCAGAATAATTTGTAACGTTCACAAAGCGGGCGTAACCTTAACAAAATGTACTGCCATCTCAAAGCTTCTCGAATGGTGCACTGTAGGCATGGTTTGCGCTGAGAATTCCTGACAGTGAAACGGCGCGATAACGAAAATTGGGGACGTAACGTGGCAATACAGTACTTAATGTACGAATGCCAAAAGAAAACAATTGGCGAATGTGGTCCGGACACAAGCGCCAGAAACCAAGGGGTGAAATCGGATGCCAAAGCACTGCATTGCCGTTATTAGTCGGTTCTAGTTTGTATTGTCTCATATCTTCTGACGAAGTTTCATGTTAGGCCTCCCGCCAAACGATAGTCGATGCCTGGTTGGGCCAATGTTTAGAAGGTGCATCTACGGCGCAGTGCTCAGTACCGGCTAGCCCACCAGTTTGTCATTTTGAACGGTCAAGTTTTGCGAAGCTCGAGCTTACAAGGTGGTAATCTCGTTCCTCGTTGCTGTTCAGGTGAGCGCAACTCTGGGGACGACCTCTTGCTGCTCCTTCGACGCTGTGGCAGAGATCGGTCCATTGTGCCAGAAGGAAGGCATCTGGCTTCACGTGGACGCAGCCTATGCAGGGAGCGCATTCATCTGTCCGGAGTTTCAGTATCTGCACAAAGGACTCGAGGTACGAAAGGCCACCCACTATAAGCAGCTCTCTCGAAATGTTTTCGTAAGTTATTGCGGTAACAATAGCACAGTGCACAGATATGTTTTTGAGGCAAAACGTTTAAGGAAAAAGTTGGACGCAGCTAATGCATCCGATCTCTAAATATTCAGCACCTTAACTTGAAGCCAGGTGGCGATGTCCAGAGTAAATTTCTTTGTCATTTACACCGCATGCCTCTCATTCGTTCCAGAGCTGCCCACTATACAGCATTGTTTAGAACTCTTGTTCATGTATGAAGCCAACCAATAAAGCGTTGAAGCGGGCGTCGGGCAGTTTCGGGAGATTTTTTTGCGATATCGCATAACGCACACAAGTCTAAGCAGTTAACAGCTGTCAAAAAGCGTTATGTCTAACAAAGCTTCATTTGTTAGTGATCTAAAGTGGCGAGCAGAAGGCGCTCGGGAAGACATTACATTAAAATGACACTGATTATGGCTAATGTTACCTTATACCGAAACATTGCTACGCGATCAATATTTCTTTATCCTTTCTTTTTGTTTCCTGTTCCAGTACGCGATGTCTTTCAACATAAATCCCAACAAATGGATGCTTGTAAACTTCGACTGCTCCCTCATGTGGTGAGTACTGCTAGGGTTTACTTTATTTGCATTGGTGACCCGCCTGGCTGAGGTTTCTCATAGGAATGATCGTCAGTCATCTATACTGTTTTTTATGTTGCTTTCGCACTTGCTTGGTACCTATAGTCTTGTCAATTTTTATACTGCGGGAAGAGTGATTCCCGAAAGTACCTTGAGTCTCCATAGAAAAAAAAAAAGGGGGGGGGGAAGATGTTACAAACGTAAAGCACCTGCACTGAACTAGCTGCATATGAAGGTGACCAAGGTATTCCCCACAACCAGGGTGCTGTATGCAGCTTCATAAAAGTAATTTGTAATTCTCTCGCCACAAAGCTCATTCTCAATTGCTGTGAAGCCTTGACCTGCCACGTTACATCTGGTAACACCGGAGCATGATATACAACACAAGAAAATAAATTCTCGAGGCCAAGCATATACTTCACCAGCAGCGACACGTAATCATCCCAGCTAGTCGAGCTGCGCATTTATCCCCAAGCATTCGTCGATAATCCGCGGGTTATCAATTGCACGTTAACCCACACGGCCAGCTATTGCTATTTATATCTGCATTACAAACTCTCGAAACGACTGCATCACTGTTCCGAGAATCCATGGGCCCACGAAACTACGTCGAGTATATTGCAATGTAACATGCATGTCTGTGCAGTTTGCCAACGTGACCGAAAGTAATTGCAGTAATAAACACATTGGGCGCCATGTAGATGTGTAATGTATATCCGATTGGCTCGAGTCGAAAATGCCCGCCCGGAATGCAAATTTTCAGCATGTCGCAATTGGCCTTTCTTGCAGGGTGAAAGACAGGTTCAAGTTGACGCAAGCTTTGGTTGTTGACCCACTGTACCTACAGCATAGCTATTCAGGTGAGTGGCAAGCGCGTCTTGAATTTAGATTGGTTCTTTCGTCTGTTGAACTAGCACGGCCCGCACGTCTGCTGCTTTGTCCTGGCACGGTTCTTGTCACAAAAACACGCTTACATATTTTTCTTTTCTTTTTCAGATCAGGCAATTGATTACAGGGTAAGTTTTCATCTCGGTAGTTTCTACTAAAAGAGATGGATTCGTCTAAGACAGCTTGAAAGCGAAAGCTGGAGTGGCCATTTCACCCTTAGCTTAATATCACGCGAACAGTTTTTTTTTTCGACGAAGTGAAGGTGCACCTCAAGTCTCGTAATATTTTCTACACGTCATACTGTAACCTTGAAAAGTAGAATTCTTTAACCTAAAAAGATGTGGATCCGTATGAAACTCCAGGGGGCTATAAAATCGCACGCTAGGCATTGAAGTACCGAAAATTCGATAGCACCTTGACCGACATAGGATATGATGACCTGATAGGCAGCGGCACAATCTGCTCCAGAAGGGGTGCCGGTAAACTGTTGTCAAAGAGGTCCAGTGTTAGCACGAAGAGATCCACCATAATCAGGGCTTTGGAAATCAAGTGCGGGATTGGGCTAGTTGGTACACTTCTCGGCGCGAAAATTTGGGACAATGAACACAAGAGAAGAGCGCAGTTCTCGTCTCTTGTGTTCGTTGTCTGAAATTTTCACGGTGAGAAGTTAATAGTAATCGTCAGCCCTGCTCTTTTGCCTGGAGCTTGTTGCCAACTTAATTCATTTTTTTGCAGCACTGGGGCATACCCCTCAGTCGGAGGTTCCGGTCACTCAAGCTATGGTTCGTAGTGAGGAGGTATGGCATCGCCGGACTGCAGCACTACATCCGAGAGGTTAGTTTGCTTGATTAGATTGATTTGATTGATTGGATTGGTTGGATTGATTGATTGACCGTCTCTACGCAGCACGTCAGACTCGCAAAGAAGTTTGAGCAGCTGGTGAGGAGTGACTCCCGCTTTGAAGTGGTAAATCAAGTGATCTTCGGTCTCGTCTGTTTCCGGCTGAAGGTGAGTAGCGAGTGTGAACTACTGAATCAGGTCAATCATTACAATTTCGATCGTTATTGTAACCAGGTACCAATACGACACCCGAAAGGGCGTCACAACATTGCAATGTACAGCTGTCGCCACACTCAACACGATCGCTCTGCATCATTGCCTGAAATGGTTTGAATGACGTCAGCACCGTGTAACTTCCAGTTCCGTTGATGAGATGCTGCCAACACATGCCGACACACTCTCCAAGCATATCGAGGTGTTACCTCGGCAACAGCGCCCAGAACTTCGCGGCGGGCATCAGTGAAACCACACTGCGCAGCTTTAATGTTAGGTGTGCTGACGGCTGTACGCATGTTGTGCCCTGTAGCTTTCTTCTTCTCCTGCACCAATTCTGCATCTCTTTATTCTGGGCAAACGCTAGTTGTCTCATCAGATGAAGCAGGGTGTATACGTTCTCCAGGCAAATTTGATAATACTACCTTTCATATGTCCTGTCACCATGTCTGGATACTCAAAACGACACTGGCTATGTGGGAACGGAAGTTGATCAAATGTGCAGGCTCTTTGAACTACACAATTTAATCTGCAGGACACAGGGGCTGCCGATAATATTTGACGCTAGACAAAGAAAATGGACCGTGCCAGGTCCCGTAACGCATATTATTAACAGAAGGAGATCAGTCGAAGCTACGGAATACAAGTGATTGTACCGCAGCAGAGGTTTAAGTGAGGGGGACGGAAGTTGGCAGAGATGAAATGGGACCAGCTCGCACGGTAATCGGGAGAGGCCTTCGCCCAGTAGTTCCCGAGAATGAGTTTGTCACTGCCATGGGAATATAAAAGATCGGGGGCTCAAAACAAAATAACTTGTAAGAGATTTGAAGAGGAACACTTGTCCACTTGCCGCAAGATGGCTTTTTTGCTTATTTTTTGCCTTGGTCATGTTTTGTGCCTCAAGCTCCTAGGCACATACCAACCAGCCCGACAGCAGCAGTGTGGCTTGTCTTATCGCGTCGTGCATCGCCTTGTAATCCGCAAAGTCCCGGGTTTTCTGCTGACATATTGCCAACAATACGTTGAGCCCTAATGACGCTGCCCATACCGCCCATCAACAATGACCAATAATCCAGGAGTCGAGCGCCGTCGGTTGATCTTGTTTAACAAAAGCACTCAAATGTTTTTCTTTGCCGCAGGGCTCCAACCAACTGAACGAGAAACTGCTGTCGAGCATCAACGCGTCCGGCAAGCTGCACATGGTGCCGGCCTCCCTGAACGACCGCTACGTGATCCGCTTCTGCGTGTGCGCCCCCAACGCATGCGACGCGGACATCGTGTACGCCTGGCACATTGTGAGCCAGTTCACCACCGAGCTGCTCCAGCTGCTCGGCCACGAAGTCGACAAGAAGGAAGAGGAGAAGGTGAGCTTTTCCTGCCGCACTTACGGACTCCTTCTTTCCCTCCATCTCCTCCGAGGCTTCTGCTGTATACCCACGCTCAGATACGTCATAGAATGCATCTGCAAGATCTTTGAGCCAATTCTCGGGCACACATTGTTCGCCAGAATAATTTGTACTGCAGGACGCTCGGAGTTTATCAATAAACGGAGGTTGTGCTTCCATGCTAAAATATATCGCAACTCGGCGCTAACAGGAAAATGAGTAGAATGAGTAGTTAAGCACGTAGACAGGGACCTGGCTGCGCGAGAACGTGGCTGTGCGAGGAGATTTTATGTAGTTGAATTTGTTGGTCTTCGTTAGTACACCTTGAACTAAATGCGTGATACGATGTCGTGCTTCATTATCTAGCGTGAAATGCTTCGTCAGTCCGAACACTTTCCGTTTCTTTTATTCAATACCGCACGCCAGATATTACACGCAGGACGCACAATAAAGGTAAACGCCTGTAAGTTTCATTGTCCATTCTCAAGTTCAAAATAGGCATACATGTCTCCTATAAACATGACGCTCTCTTCTTGCTACAATTATCATGATTTTCAGCGTTCGGGCTAGCTGCTTAAGGCTATACTTTAGTAGATCCTGTTGGTAAAGTAGTTGTTACTGAGGTGACTGTCGTTTTGATATCGGCTCGGTGAACTTTGTAGTCAGTCGGCAAAGGCGATTTCCCGGTTCGCCAATATTGTAATTGCGTTATCCGTAAAACTTCGCTTACATTTTTCTGAAAATGCCCTACTCGGTAAAAATGCGAGCAGACATATTTTTTAGTATCATACAATGAACGATCAATTTCGCCACTCAAACCAAGCCGCATCATGCACTTTCTCCCAATTTCCAATTATTTCACGAACAGGCATTCAGGGATACAACAGCTTCTGTCGACTAGGATATCCGCCACATGTAGCACATATAGGCTCAGTTGCGTTGATCAAAGGTGCTTTTTGACCAGTTCGCAGTCATCGGCTGATAGGGTGCAACAAAAAAAAAGTTGCATTTTATTGACACTTTCGACTCGTCGTTCAGCGCATGCACACTTAAACACCTTCAAATTAGACTCTTGCCTCGCTAACCGTCATTCGACGTCACGGCGAATGTTTAGCGCCTACTCTATATCGCCCCTACCGCTCGCCAGGCGACGAGTTCTGGCGCTGCTGTCGCTGGTGCTGCTGTAGCGCACGTGTCTAATCCTTACGCCGATCAGACGGGGCTTTTGTTCCGCGCTTTTCTGTTTTCATTCGCACTGCTCCCCATTGCATAGGTTGAGTGCTGTGGGAATGAATGTGGACGGGTCGTTTCAGGCGGAGCACCACACTATACTGGACACCACGTACGACAGCTACATCAGTTGCTCGGACAGGATGACGCATGGATGAAGCAGTTGGGCCTGCATGCCTGACCACAACCACTTCCCCGCAACAGAGTGCTGCTCCTCGCGAATGTGCACGTGACTTTGGATTACCCGCTTCTCCTGCATGCTGGGGCTCATTTGCGCCATCCTGCCCGTAATGCATGGAATCGCCGGGAGACGCCATTCCCGACAAGTCTGCACCGACGACACTCTGACCGATGTGTATGCCTGACGCTTGCGTGAACAGTTGGGACTTTGTTCTAAACGTAATCCTGTCATTGCATGTCCAGCTTTATTAGGGGTGGCGCTTTTTAATGGAAGGCACTAGGGCTGACTAATGTCGCATGATATGTTATCCCCGCATCTCTAAACGGACGTCGGTACTAGACAATTGTAGTACGTAGATTTGTCGCAGCACGGCATCTGCACGATGTGCCGATGTGTGGGGCTGCCTTGTCGCATACTCCGGCAAACAATGTCATCCCCGCATTGATTTTAAATAGTTCACTAACGTGTTTATAACTAGTTCGTGTCTCCGAGCAGAATGTTACGAAGTAAAATAAGCAAAATCCTATACAAACGCATCTGTACAGAATTTTTATCAAACTCGTGCTTCGGAAAAATGATTTTAACTACGCCTGTTTTACGCTGCAAGCATGCCCTGGTGTCTTCTCGTGGAGGTGCTGTCACAACGCTACAAGAAAGCGTAAAGCCAATACGTAATATAACTTCACAATGTGAATACTCTTATCCACTGCTGCTCCACCACGAGGCGTCAAGCTCCAGTGGATACCCTTACTCTCTCAACAGTGCATGCGTAAAACATGTAACGCGTAGCCTTGGTGCTATCGCACAGCGCATGGTTTCCGCTCTACACTAGCCTAACATCTCGTGAGAGATAAAAAGCACGTGATTGTATCTGGATATCTGCATGAAGAGTGTTTTTACGGGCGTGCGAACGCAATGCAAAAAATATCGGTTATACTTTGCCTGAGCAATGAGCATGATTTCGACCCCCGAAGCTGTCAGCTTGAGTGTCATTGAATTCCCCCTCCCCCCGTTCATTCGCATCGTCGCTTTTTTTTTTTGCTTTTATACAAATCTGAATTGTCTGGAAAGAAATAGCATGTTTGACATTGAAACAACGATTTTTTTAATAGCGCCGGCTGTTGCCGATGCCGCCCTGTGTGGTACACTGTGAATGACTCACGTGAACCTATTATAATTGAATGAAAAATTCTATCAATGTGGCTCCAAGTGCTGTTGCGTGTTTGTTTTTTTTTTTTTTTCGCTGAAGCTGCAATGCTCTACAAATGGTGTTTTATTGTTGGCACTTTGTAAGCACATGATCATGCAAGTTAAAAATACGTACAGCAGCAATCTTCTAACGATGGGACAACGTATGTACTCCTGCTCTGGAGCTTGTTGCAATGAAGAGGACAACAGTGACTAATGCAACTACGCTTTCATATTGTGTAACCTGACGCCCTGTTATACAGAGAAAGCCGTGCCTTGTCGGGGAACGAAGCCTTTTTTTTTTTTTCTCTAAATAATGGGCAATGTCGCGCTAAATGCATGATCTTTTTGTATCCCTCCATCGTCGAATCATTGTCAAAGCTGAAAGGGGCTTTACACTAGTCGAATTTTGCCAGCTTTGTATGTCTGGTTTTTCAGCACACATCTTAGCGCTGCACTGCGATTTTATTTGTCAATAATTTAGCTTCGCTTACTGTTTTAGCTGCCTTTTTGTAGCAAAAAGCGAATGATGCCGGAATTGTCGACTTCTACAAGTGTTTCATGCACCGTTAGTGTGTGACCGTCTTCTGTAGCAAGAGGTATATTATTAGTCGCGAAGGGTTCTGGTAACATAAACATGTATTTACTCATAAAAGGCATACATGTTATTGTTTCATATTTAAAGTGATGTCTATACATTTGTACATATATTGTCTAGAGAAGAAATGCTTTCTTTTACTTTCTGCGTACAGCGTTTTTCTCATCCTGGAGTCGACCTCGCTTTTCAGCACCTGCACTATGCACTTATCAAATGACAAGATTTCTCGCTCTCCGCCACATACACAAAAATTACGGGGGGGGGGGGGGAAGTAGTCCTACTTTCACCCGGGTACAGCATTACGTCGTATGATGGAAGTACTTCGACTTCACTACTTTAATTACATGACGTACAATTTTTTTTTCTGTTCAACTAGAGCTGTGGTAAGTGTTAAGCCGTGAGGAATACATTGCCACAGATTTCGCATTTAAATTGCAAATGCTACGGTTGCGTGACTATTCACACTTCACGAATATATATCTAGCAACGTGGCGTTTGTACAGACGTACTCAACATAAGCTACACAGCAGTGGCCTTGTTAAAAACAGACGTAACACTGAACGGCGGCACCGGCAGTGTTTACGCGGGAACGAAATTACGGTATCTTGTAAACCAGTTTCACGTACACTGGTGTTCCCGGTTGAGCCGATCCCTCAACCTCTGTCCCCACGCTGCAACCCACATGAAGTGCGACCGTACTTTAACTCGCAACTTCCTCTTCAAAGCAGTTACAATGCGTCACCTACGACATTGCTCGGCGGGTACTAGGGTATTCGCGTACGAGAAATAAAAAAAAAACGCCGCTGATCTTTCCACCATAAGAATCTGTTCAACACAAGAGTGAATTACACCTTTACAGGAATATAGTTTATTGTACATTAAATGGTATTGGATCTCGCACAATGTCTTGTTATTTGGCAGGTACAGTACAGTTTGACGAGGATGCACCAACGTTGGCGCCTACAGGCACACCCCCATGTCTACGACTAACGTCGAAAATCGAGATATTACCCTTGTGGTAGCTTAAGTAGTAAACATACCCCTGGACACAATAAATTCTTAATCCTTAGCACGCATAGTAACAACAAGCACGTATTGAACACTGGTACTCGATATTTGCTCATTCAAAGAGTTGTTTCAAAAGGAAAAAATTACGGAGTTTCCCCTAAGCCGTATGGCCTGAAACGGCGAAGTGGGACGATTCTGAAGTTGGTGCTAAAAACAGGTTGTTGCTAAAAAAAAAAAAAGGTGATACTAGGTTGTCGGTTACAACCCGAGAATAAAAAATTTGGGGGGCCCTTAAGCTTTCGCCTTCAAGAGTCGAATGCAATAGCGGTCACGTTCCTAAATGCAATTGTGCCTGCATTCTGTGTAGTGGGTTGCACGTATAAAAGGATGGCTTTTGTAAACTGCTACCATATTGCTTCATAAATAAAGCAACAGAATACCAATCAAAGAGGGTGTAAGGCAGGGGGACACAATCTCCCCAACGCTGTTTACCGCGTGCTTACAGGAGGTTTTCAGAAGCCTAGAATGGGAACAGTATAGGATAAGAGTTAATGGAGAGTACCCTAGTAACCTGCGCTTCGCTGATGGCATTGCATTGCTGAGTAACTCGGGGGACGAGTTTCAACTCATGATTACGGAGTTAGACAAAGAGAGCAGAAAGGTGGGTCTTAAAATTAATCTGCAGAAAACGAAAGTACTGTACAACTAACCTTGAAAGAGAGCAGCACTTCGAGATAGGTAATAATGCACTTCAAATTGTAAAAGACTATGTCTACTTAGGACAGGTAATAACCGCGGAGCCGGACCACGAGATTGAAGTAACTAGAATAAGAAAGGGGCGGAGCACATTTGGCAGCAGTCTCAAGTTGCGACAGGTAGATTGCCACTATCCCTCAAGAGGAAGGAATATAACAGTTGTATCTTGCCAGGACTTAGCTAAGGAGCAGAAACCTGGAGATTTACAAAGAGAGATCGGCTTAAATTGAGGACGATACAGCGAGAAATGGAAAGAAAATGGTAGGTGTTACCTTAAGAGACAAGCAGAGAGCAGAGTGGATTAGGGAACAAACAGGGGTTAAGGATATCATAGCTGAAATCAAGAATAAATGGACATGGGCTGGGCATGTAGCGCGTAGACAGGATAACCGCTGGTCGTTAAGGGATTCCCAGAGAAGGCAAGCGCGTTAGGGGGAGACAGAAGGTTAGGTGGGCAGATGAAATTAAGAAGTTTGCGGGTATAAATTGGCAGCAGCAAGCACAGGACCGAGTTGACTGGCGGAACATGGGAAAGGCCTTTGTCCTGCAGTAGACGTAGTCAGGATGATGATGATGATGATGATGATGATGATGATGATGATGATGATTCAAGCAGAGGAAGTTTTTTTCTCTGTTTTCAAGCGGAGATGTGGGCCGACATTTGCGTGCCACGCATACGGCCTGGGTGCTATCCTCACTCGGACCCAGAATTTATTTTTCCTTTTGCGTACTTTTAGTAGGTGAAATTGGTGTGAACTTGTTATGCACCCACTGCGTGGCCTTAAGTGAATAGGCGCAGTAGCGTGTGCCCCTTTTGTAATGGGTGACCGAATTAAAACCCCGAAGCCATAAAGATAATCGCATGCCGTGACGGCCGTCGGCAACGGGCGCTTGTGCCATGCATTACTACTCCATTATTTCATGCTGCATTGTTAGGCACGTATACAGGAGTCGCGCGCATGCGTGTAAAGCATGAGATACTTGCAATGCATTTCCAAGCAGAGGGAGTCATTCTCACTGCATCCACAAGCAGATTGATATGTGTGGATGAACGTCCCAAAACCACCATATCGTTATGAGAGACTCCGTAGTGGAGGGCTCCGGAAATTTTGACCACCTAGCGTTATTTAACGTGCACGCAAATCTGAGCACATGGACCTGTAGCATTTTCGCCTCCATAGGAAATGCAGCTGCCGCTAGCCGGAATTTGATCCCGTGACCTGCGGGTCAAGTACCCACTAGCAGAGACGTGGCCGTGTGGTAGAACATCCGCTTGGCACGCCAGCGACCCGGGTTCGATCCTCACTTAGACCCGAACGATTCTGCTTCAATCCCCACTCTGACCAAGGATTTTTTTTTAATCATGCCATATGGCACCGGTACCATTCGCGTATATTGCCATATGCACCATATTGCCATATGTGCACCGTACGTGACATGGCGTGAAAAGTGTTGCTAAGAGGTGCGCATCTGCTTGTTGTTTTCGGCCCCAAACAAAATGGGTGGAATCTCTGCCGATGTCCAGCGAAAATTAGAGCGAAGGAAGGGCGCTTCTAGCACGGGTGGCTTCGGAGCACGAAGCTGTACTTGTAACCTGCAAAATAAGGGTCCTGTATGATCTGCCACGGTCACGCAGAAATGATATAGGGCAGATGGGGCGCTGAATCAGTGTGCGCCTTAAAGGAGTATGGAAGAGCCAGCAGGGCTGATAAATTGTCCCACGTGGGAACGCACTGTGATGGGTGTGATGGGAGTAACCGTATAGATGAGAGCACGCCTATCTCGCACCCAGGCGTCTTCGGAGGTATACCCTCGCTCCCAGAGACGCCATAATTTGCAACTGCCAAGGCGCGCCTTGTTAGCATGGGATGCAGTGGCTCTGGGAGTTTAAAATGCGAGAAAGCGCCTGTTCACGCTGCGCCTGCTTATAAAATGTCATTTGGGTACCACTGCGCTGTCATCTGACGCGACAACGACCAGCGCAAGAAGACGAGATTGCTGAGCACTGCCTGTGAAGTTCACATCGCATTGCGGCAATCGTGCCGGTGCGGTGTTTTGCGATTGCACAGATTTTCATCCACAACGAAAAACGCCGAGCTCCACCGCCTTAGGATATAATCGCAATCAGCAGGAAAAAATAAGAGCCCTGTGAAGTGTACGAGTAAGTTAAGCTCATTGTGTTTATTCAAGCGTGACTCCCGCTGTTTCACTTTACAGCATCGATTTACGTGCAGTACGCCTGTAGTATGAGGCACAAAACTATTGCCGTACTCTTTCGCAGCCCGCATGTCAATAATAGGATATACGTATTACGACTCACGCGTGGATGCACGCACCGCGCATGTTTATTACAACCGAATGGCCTACTATCGCGATGCGTCAACGGCACGGAAAGCACGACTTTCCACTCGGCCGAACTGCGACATGCCTTGACTGTCACTAG